TTTTATGTAAATATGTATATATACGTTTCAGTTTTCCTGAGCATTTGGCAGGGGGGATCGTAACCTCTTGTAGTGAGAACCAGTGTGACTGGCCTGCCAACAGGATGCTAAGGTTTTTATAGTAAAAGTTATCAGTCACGTTCGTTAATGTAATTTCGTTTTATTATCTGTAAATCAAAAATCACTATAGCGTGTTGATAACTGATTTCAATACATTCTGAAACAACTTGTATTTACAACTGTGGGATATCAATGACCTATACCTATTTACATAACCGACAATTTAAGATAATTATCATGCCGAATTATTAGGCACCTGTCATTGCATTCCCCTAGGGTAAGCAGTGAAAGGAACATGCTGGTATTTGCCGACAAAAACTTAAACGACTCTCACTAACGAATTGGTAAGTATCAGGTGGGGGATTTTACACTGCTGTAAAAAAATGAAAAATATGTCACTAATGGACCCAATGGATATGGTTGCCACCATTTTAAGAATATAGGGATTTCTACTCATAGAAAATTTGAGGACTGTGGGGAATATTTATTGAAATTTCTCCCAGTTTTTAATTAATTAAGTTATAAACCCTTTCCATTCAAGATTGAGTTGAGTTGTCTACCATGCACACTTTATATCACATATCGAATGTACTTGAAGTCTGTGGCATGAACGATGACCATGACTTAATTGATTTGCTATCTGGTTGTAGTGTAAGGAAACCAGGTCAACTCAAGTAAACTCACGTGGAAATACCTCCGTAGGTTCCTGCAGCATAAAGAGAATTATTCTTTTCACAAAATTCTCCAGCCCGGCCCCCAATTTTCAAAATGTGGAATCTCTATACATATTCTAAGAAAACGCAAGGACACCAAGATGACCATGCCTGGGAGAAATTCTAGCTATTTCATTCGCACACTAACTCATTTGCTTTAGTATTTCTAGAAATTTACATTTCACGACTAATTCACAAGGCAATGTTCCCGGAAATCTGTGTTCCAATACCGCCGATTGACTGCCACACACAAACTGACCCGGGTCAAGTAACGTACCACAGAAATGAAGACTCCTAACATAACCAAAGTCCCATTATAAAGACAGGAACTCGCATACATACCTTCGATGTGCGGCGAAAACTATGCCAACATGCAAAGTAGTACTTTACGACGATGAAACAAAAATAAGGAACTTTACGGAAGTCGCCATCTTTTTATCCATCACAGCGCCCTCATGCAGATGAACCAGAACAGTTGCACAATATCAAAAACTGTTGCGCCAAACATGGTGACAGGCCAAAGATGTCGACGTCTACTCTACACCAATGACAGCCCGCTCGTTACAACGCGCCTCTCTCGTGTCTTAGGGTGCGCTGTTTTTCTTTCTTTCTGTTTTTTGTTTTTATTAAAACAAGTCCCGACTTTGCCAGTCTATATTGAGCAATGCAGCGAGAGTTATGAAAGTTTTTGTAAATTGCTGACACTTTATGAAAAGATTGCTCATTGCTCTTTCGGTCATATGTGGAAACAAATTGGCTACACTGTAAACGAGCTATGCTGATCACGATGACTGTTTGAAAGTAAAATACTAGTACTACCCGTTTAGTTAGTACGCCATCACCGATGTCAAGTGCTGATCCGTCTACGCTACTCAATACGGCGTAAGTGGCGCTGCTCTTGTAAGTTTATTTATTTATTTATTTATTTATTTATTTATTTATTTATTTATTTATTTATTTATTTATTTATTTATTTATTAACAATAAAGGGAATGGATTTGTATCGTCGTTAGTGTTGAATGAGGAGAAACCGTACATAGATCCCACTCGTGTTCAAGATTTTGAAACATCTTACTTGTACAGCCTATGTACACATCAATGTCTTATTATATGTTGGGATTATATTCATGAGCGCAGTAATAAAACAAAATACATAGAAATGATTGTTTCAGCACACAAAACGGTGATAATTTGCAAGGCATGCTGGGAAACGTATTGGTCTCTGCTGTATTTTTTTCCATCCAACTCCTAAATGCACAAACAACACAACAAAGTAAATATATATAAAGTACAGTACTACCTTATCTTGTCTGTCAATATATTACTGTGATAGTTGTAATTTGCTCGTGACTTTCAAGTTGAGATGTGTTTGTTCATAATGTTTTGCCCTTTGTCTATGCGACATGGGTTGTTTTTGTTTGTAATGTGACAAATCAGTAAACAGTCGACCTTTTTTTATTTACTCATCAAAATTTAGGGTACCATTATGAAGTGGTAAAATACAACAATACACAGTAATGTGTGGTTTGTATATATAGAATAACAAGTAGTAGGCATCTTGTTTGTAGTCAAACAAACCAGGGCTAGGTCTAGTCTGGATTTTACCAATAAAGTTTTGCAATTTTTTTGTTTTTGTCTTGCAATTCGTGGTGGATATTCAAATTTACCTCATTTTTTCTCTCCAAATATCCATTGATATATCCATTTGCTTATAGATATGCTAAATTTTGTGTTGGTTCAAAAAGTAAGGGTTGAAATGGCTTGACAACGTAATAATGGCATCACATATTCAAACAAAGTTTCATCAGTACTGCCTATGAAAATGTCTAGAAGGATAGTGCGCCACCTGTCGGGGAAAATGTTGAAATAAAAGCATGTACTTCTATACCGGTATTTTAATGATGGCGCCACCGGTGTCATATTTACAATACGTTTTGTTCATGTGTCCGTTTGTTATGATAAAGCTCAAGTTCATTACAACAACCTCTTCAATTGATGACAATTGAATTGAATGCTTTAGAGGATCAAATATCAAGTTCATTGAAAAGGATTGGAGTTCCAATTCAATGTTATTACTTTGTGTTTCATATAGCGGCATCTCGGTGGCGATTTGCCAAGAGTATGGTTGCGTGTTGTTAAATAACATAGAAAACGTATTGAGTAATGTTATTAACATACCTATACCAACTGGGTATC